AGGGGTGGGCACCAGTCCCTCCCCAGTGCCCATGGAGAGAGGGCTCTGGGCTGCCTGACCCGACCTGTGGGCACCCGTTTAATCCCAGATGACAGAGCAGCGGAAGCGCAGGCAACGCCTGGGCTTTGTGGACGTCCAGAACTGCATGAGCCGCTGAGAGCCACCGGACGCCCCAGCAGGGGATGGTCATCGCAGAGAGTGGTGACCGGGAACACTGCCCCTTCCTGCGGGTCAGGGGGCCCGGCCAGCCCGCCAGCCTCTCAAGGCCAGGTGCCCACTCGGCTTCCAGCTCCCATTCTGCCAGACACCCCCCAAGCTGTGCCAGGCTCTGGCCAGCATGGAGTGGGGAGCCACAGAGCTGACAGTCCTGCCTAGAGCCCTTAGAAACGACTCAGAAACTTACGGGGACTCAGCTTACCTTAATGCCTTAGAGGAGAGAAGTCCTCCGGAAGGACAATTGCTTTGTTCCTTAAAGCAGTAACTGACATTCTCTTGTGTTCCTCCATGGGATTAGGAGTGGGGTCGCGTCTTTATTCTAAGCACTACATTTTGGTCTCTGCCTGCTCCTGAGGGAGGTGCAGCAATGCTGTTGTTGCTAGTGATTTTAGGGCTTTTTATTTAACTTATTCACGGGTGCCGTGTTCAGCCCAGGCCACGGCTCCACGGCTCCCTCTGGGCCGCAGATCTGCTGTAGACCGCGTGTAGACCTCATCATCCAGGCCACCCCTCCAGCTCGGCCCCAGGTGGACTGGTGACCCGAGGAAAAGAGCCTTGCTCCTGGGACCTGCCTCTTCTAGGCCTCCTGAGAAGAGTTGCTGGCCCAGAGGGCAGGGCTGGGGCATGTTGGAGCAGCTGGGTTTCGACTGTTTTATCTCCTTTTGGTGTAACGTTTTACAAACCCTCTGGCCTGAGAACTAATATGTTAACTGCCTTAAATAAATTAATAGAACGCTAGTCCTTGAGAAAGGGATGCTGTTTCCTACACTCCCCAGGGGCGGTGGGGGCTCCTGTGCCCACTGGCCCGGCCTCACCTCGGGCTCTCGGTAGATGCCCTGAGCGACATCCTGTCTCGCAGTGATTCCTGGACAGAACTGTATCGCAGTAGAACTGGTCTGTATTTTATTGTATGTATTTCAAAACATACTGAGGAGTCCAAGGACAAAGGAGGTTAAGAGCTCACTTTCACTTCCCGGTGAGGGGTGCCTGTCAGCCCCTGCCCTACCTTCTCTCAGCTCTGTTGTTGACAGAAGAAATGCTCAAGTGGGGACCACGAGCATTTACAACTAAGGTTCCATGGGATGAGGTGACCGTGTGTGTGTGTGTGTGTGTGTGTTTCCCTGGCCAGGGGGCTGGTGTCCTGTGGCCTCCCACAGAACCTGCCTAGGGCGCTAAAGCCGCCTGCAGTCTGCAGCCCCACTTGGCCGAAGACCGTCTGTGTCTCTATTCTGTCCCTCAAACCAACTTGGAACATGGGTTTTCTGCAAGGTCAGGGGCAGAGGACCGGATCCATCCTTCTGAGTCAGTGGGAATGACGGCCAAGCAGCCTCTTCTCATCTCTCGGCCACACCACCTCCTGCTTTCTGTTTGCAACAGGATGCCTTCTTCAATGTTTATCGCTATTTTTGGCTATCCCCCAGGAACTCCAACAAAAGGGAGCCTGAGAATCCTGCCAGGAACCAGCAGATCCCCCCTGGCAGGTGGGGCTCCTGGGGCTGCACAGGAAGCACCTTGCCCAGAGGCCCCGTCACCTTCCCTTCTCAGGCCCAGACGGAGACCCGCATTTCCTCTCATCTGGAGACTTCCCTACCCTGACCGGCGGGTGGGGGTGGACGCTCCATGGCATCCCTTCTCAGGCAGAAGCTTTCTTTAGAGCAGCAATGGCTTCCTTTCTGTGAAGGCTGGGTGAGATTCCTGAACCGTGAGGATGGGGAAATCAGGGCAGTTTTATTTATGATGGCGATGTACAAGACTCCACGCTTAGGTGCGCGGGCGAGATAAGGACCGGGCCCAGGCCTTCTGCTTCTCCTCGGGATTCCTGGGGGCAAACTTCTCCTGCAGCTTCTTCCACATGCCTTTATTCATTTCCTTAAATTCTTCTAGGGTGTCTGCAAAAGGGGAAGACAAAAAATAAATAAAGAGACTGAAGTCTACAATATGAATATGTAAATTGGCCCCATCCGAGCACACCCTGATTTTTACACAGTATGTTCCTGAGAGAGGGAAGCGTGGCCCCCAACTTCTGATAAGCAAATCAAGACAGGGTGACAGAAAAATAACTCGTGTGGATGCAGCACTTGTGCAGCAGGCACCACATGAACATCCTGCCCCTTTGCAGTGGTCTCCACCCAGTGCCAGAGAACAGCAAAGAAACGGTATTGCCCTTGTCAGTGACGTGACCCACGGGCCCTGAGACTTTCTCTCAAAACTTGGCCTGTAACACACAGACCATACTGTCTCCACTTCTCAGATGTAGAAGTGAAGGCGGAAGGAGGTTAGGTAAGTTGCTCAGGTCGCACAGCCAGGAAGTGGTGGAGGTGGGATTTGAAGCTCTGCACCACATCCAGCGGAGCTGAAGAGGCACTGGGGAAGGAGATGGACTGGGGTCCCCACCGATCACTTCCTCTCTGGGAAACAAGTGATTTAACCCTCTTAGCCTCGGGCTCCTCATCTGTAAGGTGGAGATAAAAACGCCTGCCTCAAAAGTTCCAGACTAAAGGAAATAATAGAGGAATCTCCCTGGCAGCTGGCCCACACTCAAGAAGAGGCGGCAGTCTTCATAGCTATGAAGGCAGCAGGGAGCCGGTGAGAGCTGGTGGGGCCCTTGTGTAAGAACACACGCACACGCACACGCACACGCTCACGCCCCAAAGGAATCAAAACCAGCTTTCTCAGTCCCGGCACTATTGACATTTTGGGCCAGACAGTCCTTTGCTGTGGGGCTGACCTGCGCGTTGTAGGATGTTTAGCAGCAACCTGGCCTCTACCCACTAGATGTCAGTAGCAGCCCCCACACGGCCCCTAGCTGTGACGTCTGAAAATGTCTCCAGACGTCCTCCACGCGGGACTGTGGCAGTTTTGCCCCCAGTGGAGAACCAACAAGTCTCTCTAGGGCTAAAGTTCTATGACACCTAATTTTACCTGTATTTTAAATTTAGATTTTCACATAATCTTGTTTAAATTTCATAGCCTAGATTTTCATCAGTTAGCAAAACTTCTAGAGAAAAAAGAACAGCTCTTCTGAACAAAAAGGCAGCTTACGTTTATTGTCAGTGGGCTCTTGACTAAGTCAGGACATATGCTATACCTCAGCCATGAGCCCAACATCCCACCCTGAAACCTTTCCAGGTTTTCTCGTGGGCGTGAAGTGGGATGCTGGGCGGTCCCTGTCCACTCACAAGCCACGAGGCCTCTTTTAGAGTCTCCCATGGCCCCAAGCCCAGGTGAACATGCTTGGGACCCAGACCTTGGTCACATTTCAGACTCGCTAGGCCCTCAAACACTGCAAGGTGTATTCTTGCCCTGTCAGAGGAAACAATCAGTAAGCCCGTGCCACACGGTCCCAACAAAAATAGGAGGCTTACTGTGAAAACGAACCATCAGCAGGTTTGCTGGAGCTGAACTTCTGGCCAGAACAAGCTGCAGCACAGGCCAGTGGTGGGGAGTCTTCCGTGCCCCCCTCATCTGCTGCAGCCTGCTCTCCCCCAACTCACACAGGTGTCCAGGGGCCAACAAAGAAGGTGGAGGCTGGGCCTCTGGAACTTATTTCCATTCTAGTTTCAAGTCCAAAGTTTGCTCAAACCCTCTAAAGCCCTCAGAGTGACCCTGTGCACCAATACCGGTGACTGCATAGGCCCAGAAACATGGGAATAATTCTACGTGTACATTTGAAAAAACTGTCGATAAAGGAATTCCGCCTGGCCAAACTATCCTTACCCCGGTTTTCCAGAGTACTGTAACAAAAAATAGGATCAGAGTTGACACACAATAGCAGGTGATACCACCAGGTTTTATCTGTTCAGAAGGTAAGAGTTGTCTGGAAGGCCAAATCCCCAAAACTTGGTTGCTGAAAGGCTGCCAGAGGATTAGGAGAGAGAAATTTCTAGAGTACCCAAAGGCAAATGTTTCAGGGCCATGCCCTTGCAGAAAAGGTTAGCCTATTTTTGTATATGGTATCCTTGGCAATAAAAATAGTAATCTTCCAGAACCTGCCTACATCAACCCAGGCTCCCCCTGCCACTCCCCCCATCTCCCTGTCCAGTGACAATGGAGGTGGGGAAGTAAGGAGGGGATGGGCTAGGTAGGGTATTTCCTTTCTGTTAATCGAGGTCTGTCAACAACTCCCAAACACACCTAGTTAAACCCATGTCTAACCCACAAACCATGTCCCCTGGGTCAGATAACTCTCAGACGGATATCCCCATACAAGTGTATTGAATGGCTTTTTGTTTTAATTAAAACCCTCATTGTTTATAAAGCCCCCTTAGGACCATAAAAATAAAATTATTTTCCTTCCATCTTGATTTCAACTACTTCCATTTGGCAAATACGTATTCCCCGGTTCCCTGCCGCACGCTTTGAATTTAAAAGCTCTGAAGATGGATTTTCTTTTTTAAATAATGCCTTTGACCTTCTCCATATTTTATGGCCAAAAAGCATGAGCCCCGAAGCTTCAGAATTTCCTCTGGGCTATTCCACAAGAATTTCCATCAAGCAGAGCGGTCTTAGTAGACAATTCCCCTTGGCTGCTCAAACTCAAAGAATCATTTGCAAACCAACCAGAAAGGGCAGCTGTGCTGTCAATACCTGTGGACAGGATCAGCTTGTACTCTTCCACGGACAGGCCACTGAAGCTCGTGTCTCTGGGGCGAGGGTACTGGTCACACGGGCCAGAGAGGAGAGAGACGGTGGGGGAGAGATTAGTTTTGCAGCACAACCTGAGACCTGATGATCCTGGGGGAAGCCTTGCTCCCCCGGCAAAGTTCACCAGCCTGGGCCTCGGGCAGCCAGAGACCGGGCTGGGAGAAGAGCAGCGCCACCTAGAGGTCAAAGACTTGGCCTCGCTTGAGCGTACGCAAGAATCCTCTTGAAATGTAGCCTGTGATTCAGGAGGTCTGGGTGTGGCCCATGATTCTGCATTTCTTCTTCTTTTTTTTTTTTTAATTTACATCCAAATT